CACTTGAATGATTAGAGACCACACAGACCCACACAGACATTGGACCAGCCCCTACCCCTAGCCTCTCCATCCGTTTTACCTCCGCTGCTGCAGCCTGCTGCAGGATAGAGCGCCGGCGCCGCCGCTGCTGCTGTATTTTTTTAGTTCGTTTGGCCTCCGTCCGCGGAAGTACGGGCCCGCTTCGCATCAGGACTAGTGCCACCCTCCATAGCTCGCACTGGTCTGTGGTGTGGGTGCTTTGTTTCGGTCGCTTGGGTTCTACAGCACGTCGTTGGAGCTAGCAAAATGTGTCTGAAGCTATCTCTTTATTTCCACGTGTTTCCGCCCATCCCCTGTCCCCTCCCCAATAACGCATTTTTCCGACGGTTTCATGAAAAATAAATGTTACGGTTCAGGGGGCCCTGTTTCCCACTGTAGTCAGTACAGCCTTAACAAATACTTGGCGCGGGAAATGAAACGAAACGGGAAACAGAACAAGACCAAAACACAACCCATCAGAAAAACGATCAAATGTTCATGCCAAATTCATCACAAAATCACGGTGAGATTCGAAAGCATCCTTCGACAAACTCTTCGTAAGAAAGTCTGCGCGCTGGTGCGGCGAACGCACGTGGATGACCGAAATTTCCTTCCTCACTACGAGTTCCCTGAGAAAATGGTGCCTTACATCTATGTGCTTCGAGTTCGAGTTTGAGATGGGGCTCTGCGCTAGTTGAATCGCCCCCTGGTTGTCCTCGAAGATGGGGATGCACGGCACGCCGACCTGCGGCAACATGAAACGCCAAATCTGCCTCAAAAACAAAATCTCCTTCACTAACTATGTCACCTAGGGCGACGTACTCTGCTTCTGTGGTCGAAAGCGTGACACACTTCTGCGTTCTGGAAAACCAAGACACAGCGCCTCCTCCACACGTCACGATCCCCCCTGATACCGACCTACGGTCTGCTGCCTTGCTTGCAAAGTCCGCATCAAAGTCGAGGTTCAACTCGCACGCCAAAGCAGCCAACATCCTAACACACGAAATAGAAACGGGAGGCGCGTACAACTCTCCAAAGTCAACGTACTCTCTCTGCATGTCACCTCTCGCTACAAGTCTCGACTTAACCTTAGTGGGCCATCCAAACTCATCTGCCTTCCAGTCGAATACCCACTTAGCGTTAATTGCGTTCTCCACTAATTGCTACTTCGCCGGAGTAAAAGTCCCCGCTTCCAACAAGCCATAAAACTCCCTTTGCATAGAGTCGCTCCAAAGGTGCCGGTGCTCCGACGCCATGGCCTCTTTGTAGCTCTTGGGGACACGAAGGTCGCTGGCCTGGCAGTGAGGAAGGTCAGGGCGTTGCTCCGGCGGGCGCTGGTCTCGCAGCGTGGCGTCGATGTCTTCCCGGGTGGCGAGGAGCGTGGCAAATGCGAGTGGAAAGCCCGCTCCTCCAGCCCCCGGGTCCACAGCTGCGAGTGCTCCCGCCTGCCCTCCAATCCCCGCTCCCCCCGGCTCTCCGGCCTCCGCCCCCTGCGTTCCTCGTCCACCGCGCTCCGAGCCTCCAGCATCGACACCAGAGTATTCTTGTCTAGCATCGAGATGAGTCCTATGCTGTGCCTTGTGCCCGATCTCGTACGGCTTGGCAGTCGCGGGTCTGTCATACCCTCGGCCTTNATCCCCGCTCCCCCCGGCTCTCCGGCCTCCGCCCCCTGCGTTCCTCGTCCACCGCGCTCCGAGCCTCCAGCATCGACACCAGAGTATTCTTGTCTAGCATCGAGATGAGTCCTGTGCTGTGCCTTGTGCCCGATCTCGTACGGCTTGGCAGCCGCGGGTCTGTCATACCCTCGGCCTTTGTACCCGGGCGAAGCTGCCGCATGGCGTGAGCCGTAAGCGGGGGCATCGCGGGGTCCGGCGGCGGCGGCGGCTGGTCTGGATCTGGGGTCGCCGACGGTGACAGTGAAGAGGCAGAGGACGGCTGGCCAGGAGCGGGGGTCGCCGACGGTGACGGCGAAGTGGCAGAGGGCGGTTGTGAAGGCGTGGGAGCGAGCGGCGGCGTGGTCGCTGGCGGCGGCGTTGCGGCAGGGGGCGAAGCGGCAGCGGGAGCGGGAGCGGGCGACGGCGTGGGCGCTGGCGGTGGCGGTGTGGCGGTCGAAGGCGTCGGTGCTGGGCCAAAGTTGATCGAGACGACCGGCGGCGTGAACGGGGGGGGTGTCGGCGCAGCGGTGATACCAGCGGAACCCCCCTCGCCGGCTGGCGCCGACGTCACCCACGACACGTTGTTGGTGTAGACGACGCGGCCGGTGGACGCCTTGAGGACCTTGACGGTGCCGCTCGGGTGGTTTTCGCCGCCGTTCAGGTAGTAGCAGAGGGTGGCCTGGTCGTCGAGCGTAGTGCGGCGATGCTCACGCATGAAGCCGGGCTGGAAGAACGGCAGCACGCGGAAAGGCCCCTGCTCGCCGGTGAACATCTCGTGCGGCGAGCGCCGCCCGGGGTTGGCCTTGGTCGCCGACTGGTTGAGAGCGTCGGCGGCCCACTTCGCCGATTCCATCCAAAGACGGTCACCACGCTCGTCGAGGCCGGGGATGGAGGCGAAGTCGACGTGGAACACACGGCCAGCGCTGCGGCGGGCGGCCATGCCGGCCTTCATGATCCGCCAGATGGCGCTCTCGACGACGCCGTTGTACTGCGGGACGCCGGGCGGGGTGAACTCGACGCCGATGCCGTTGTCGTCGCAGAAGCGCCGGAAATCGCCGCGGGTCCACTCTGTGCCGTTGTCGACGCGGAAACATTCGATTCGTCCGAGGTCGTACCGCCCCACGTCCGCCAGCAGCCTTTTCGTTGCCGCCAGCGCGTCGGACTTCCGCCGGAGACCGTAGACTTTGTTCCACCGCGAGGCGCTGTCCACGGCGACGAACAGTTAGAGGTTGCCGCCCAGGGAAGGCACCAGCGGTCCACACAGGTCCAGGTGAACACGCCGCAGTGGCTTGGCCGCCCGCGCTCCCGGCCCCCGCGGTACCGACCCTCGCCTGCCCTTCGCCTTCATGCAGTCCGTGCACGGTTCCAGCTTGCCGGTGAGCACGATGCCTCTCTGCTGGGCAGTTTCTCTCAATAGAGGCTCCCAAGCGTGGGCAAGGGAGCGGTGGAAGCGGTTGATGTCAACGGACTTTTCAGTCGAACCAAGAGCAAACGGGGACGCACCAGGGTCAAGCGCGGCCGGACCAAAGTCAAAATCAGCACCCCCATCAATGCCATCCAAAACACCAGCCACATTCGCAGCGTCACTCTGGGATAAACACGGGGAAAAAATCTTGATGTGGGGTGTCATCATAGCCATCCATGAGCTGCTCGTCGGTGAGCACACTCGTATCTCCAAGATCCATACCCGGAAAGGTACCCACACACACAAACTCGGACGCCGAGGAAGGTATTACGTCGGCATAGCCGGCGGGTGGGACGCTCTCACTCCCAGGCAATACACTGGTGAGACCAGTGGGCGGGACGCTATCAGCCGAAGGCACTACGCTAGCGGAGCCAGCGGGAGGAATACGCAACACGGACACCAATGATTTCGCGGAGCCCCCCTTTTGGGAAGGGGAACGCGCGGAGCCAACGGCGGGGGCGGAATCGGGGGCAGTCACGAACGCGGGCAAAGCAGCAGGGTCTACAATAATCGCAGATGGGTCGTACGGCAACCGCATGGCGTACGCTGCAGACGCTTTTTCCTCTCTAGCAAAGAACAGTCCATTTTGTAGGGCTGCACCACGTTCGTCGTAGAGGATTGGTTGCTTCAGAGAAACAGCATGCGTTGAGAACAAGTTGAAACTCAGGCTCTCTACAACAGACACGTCAGTGAGCTTCACACACATCGTCGTTTCCTCACCATTCTCATCCTCCTGAAAGAAACTAAGAATAATACTACCGATGGCTTGCACTTCTAGCAGTCGACCATCACCTACAACGACATACTTCCTACTGGCGGGAATCTCTTGCAGGTCATACATGTGTAGGCTGCTGTTGGTGAAACTGTTGCTGGCTCCTGAGTCAGCTACCCATCTCTCGCTACCAGGCGGCCCCTCACTAGATTTCACACTCAGCAAAGACGAAACAGGTGCAGCAGTCTCTACTCCAATCGTCACTCCTATCCTACTAAAAAAATCGTCAGGGTGAGACTTGCCTAGGGGCACCGATTGTGCCGTGCAGAGGTGGAGGTAGCCCGAAGATGGAGGCGCGCCAGGAGAAGGAGTAGAGGACGAGGAGGAAGCGGTGGTGCTGCTGCTCGCGGGGGGGGGCTGACGTGGCTGCTCGGATGACGAATCTCCGCCGGCAGGAGGGTAGTACACGTAGTGGATGCCGCCGTCGGATCAACAGCTGTCTTCGTACCCTGAGGGGTAGCTGTAGCTGTCCCCACCGCTGGCGTAGTGGGCGTACCCAACAGACTTACGGGAAAAATGGGAACGTATCCAAAAATGGGAATGGGCGTTTGTTTTTAGAAAGCAAACCACGCCTTTGCACCTCCCCCCAAAAAAGTTGACAGTGCTGTAGGTCTTTACAGCAGCTTTCGAATGAGCTGTTGCTCAAG